CTCTCTAAAAAAAAAAAAAAAGGTTAGGGCATGGCCATATCTTTTTTTTTTCTTTGTACCAAAGGTTGAAGCCAGGAATGCTTTATCACTGAGCCACATTCCCAGCCCTTTTATTTTTATTCTGAGACAAGGTCTTGTTAAGATTCTGGGGGTCTTGGCTAAGTTGCTAAGGCTGTCCTTGAACATGCCATCCTTTGATCTCAGCCTTCCAAGCTGCTGGGATTATAGGCATGCTCTACTGTGCCTGGTCATGGTCATATCTTTTTTGGGGGCTATTATTCAACTTATCACACTAGGTGAGGGTAAGAGGCCCTGACCCTCCACTTCTTAGAAGTGTGGGAAGGGATAGGGTAGGATTCCCAAAATACTGGCATTTGCCATCTATAAATAATCCTCTCCCTTTGGATTTTTTTTTTCCTGTAGTGGGGATTGAACCCAGGGCCTTGTGCATGCTAGGTAAGCACTGTACCATTGAGCTGTATCCCCAGTCTTAATCCCCTCCCTTTGGAGTGGGAATGTGTGCTACCTCAGACCAAAACTCCATTTCAGCATCTGGTTATACTAGATGAAGTGGTTGGCATTCTGCTGCAAATATGGGCCCAGAGCTTCTGAACAGAGTAACCACCTTGTCCTGCTGGGCAAGAGAATTCTGTATGGTGTCATGTGATGCCTGCTTTTCTTTTCCAGACACTGACTTGTTGGATGAGCAGGCATCTCTGGAAGAATCAGCTGTGTGAGATGGTGCAGCCCAGTGGTGGCCCAGCAGGGGACCAGGACGTGCTGGGTGAAGAGTCTTCTCTGGGAAAGCCGGCCATGCTACATCTACATTCGGAGCAGGGCATCCCTGAGACCCTCCAGCGCTGTCTAGAGGAGAATCAAGAGCTCCGAGGTGGGTCCAGTGGTTGGGGTGGTGGGGTGGAGTGGAGTGAAAAGTTAGGAAGTCTAGCCTTTGCTGAGTGGAACGTTTATTCCTATCACCTGCACCTTCATGTTTGTTAGGTCTGGATGGGTATGTGCCTGAGAGCATACCCAGGTGGTCTCTAGTTAGCATTTCAAGCTTAGCCGCCCTCTGGCTTGGTTTCAGTTGGGGTTTGCTGGAAGTACATTTAGGTGCAAATTAGTGTGCAGGATTAGTGTGTATTTTTTATTTTGTTAGCAGAGATTGAACCCAGGGGTGCTTAATCACTGAGCCACATTCCCAGCACTTTTTATATTTTATTTACAGATAGGGCCTTGTTAAATTGCTGAGGCTGGCTTTGACTTGTGATCCTCCGGTCTCAGCCTACTGAGCTGCTGGGATTACAGGTGCACGCCACTATGCCTGGCTCAGGAAATGTGTTTAGAGTGTTCTCAGGACTGATATTGGGAATGAGAAGGATAGGGAAAAAAGTTAGGCTGGGCAGAGGGAGAAGTGGGCTATGAGTACAGGGAACTCTGGAGCTGGAATGACCTTTTCAAGTTGAGCCAAACTTGGCCAGGTCTCTGTATCCATGCAATGATCAATCATTAACTATTGTTGATCCTGGAAGTGGGCAGTACCAGATTCTGTGGGTAGGGCTTGGCTCTTGGCTGGGACAGTGGCTTTCTGGAGCAACTGAGGCAGTCCTCTGGAGGCCTCAGCAGAAAGCCTTCTGTCCTCTAGTGTGGCTGGGCACCAATATTTTCCTGGGTCAGCATCCATGTCTCCATGACAGTTCTCCTCATCCTTGTGCTGCTCAGCTTCACCGGCTTTCAGAGAGCAGATGCACATTCCCACCTGCCTCCCACTAAGTGGAACATCCTTGTCTCCCTTCCCCTCATCCTTTTCCTTCCAGCTCATGATCGTGCCACCTGGTTTTTGGGGGTAGTCTTCCTCCTTTGGCCTGCTAGTCCTTTGGTTTGAGTGGGCCTCAAGTACCCAGGTGGCCTCTAGTTAATTAGGACACTTGCTGTAGGGACTTTGAAATGACCTGGCTCACAGTTGCTGGGGGAGGGAGAGGCACTGGCACTGGGAGTGGTGGGGCACCCAACACTTTTTGTTGTCACTCTGAGTCCCAAATGTGTATTATTATTTTTTCTCTTTTTGGGGATTGAACCCAGGGGTGTTTTATCACTGAGCTATAAGCCTAGCCCTTTTTATTTTTTATTTTGAGACAGGGTCTCTTCAAGTTGCCCAGGTTGGCCTAGAACTTGCCATCCTCCTTAAAGTGAAGCTCACATGTTTAGTGTGGTGTTTCAGAAACTTACGGGCATATCATTAGTAGTTGATTTTGAAAGTGTTTAAAAAAATGAAGGGGAGTGTTTAGAAGCCATCTATCTTAGGGAGAGGTCACCTAGTAGTATGGGAGGGTACTGTGATGGTTAGCCCAGCTTCAGACCTTGGGCCTTGTAGGCCTCATACCTGTGTAAGCTCCAACAGGGGCTGGTGCTCCAGGCTGCCTGACTCTTGGGACTCACCTCGCCTTTGCTGTCTCTTGTGCCCCCAGATGCCATCCGGCAGAGCAACCAGATGCTGCGGGAGCGCTGTGAGGAGCTGCTACATTTCCAAGTCAGCCAGAGGGAGGAGAAGGAGTTCCTCATGCACAAATTTCAGGAGGCTAGGAAGTTGGTGGAGAGACTGAGCCTGGAGAAGCTGGACCTGAGAAAGCAGAGGGAGGAGGCCCTGAAGGAGGTGGAGGACCTGAAGTTATGTCAGCAGGTAGGTAGCAGGCAGGGCAGGCTCTTTCCTTGGAGCTTGGGGCTGTAGATACACCTGCATACTGTTTTTTTTTTTTTAACCAGGAATTGAACCCAGAGGCACTTAACCCCCCGAGCCACATCCCCCTCTCTTTTTATTTTTTTATTTTGAGACAGAGTCTCACTAAGTTGATGAGGCTGGCCTCAAACTTAATCCTTTTGTCTCAGCCTCCTGAGTTGCTGGGATTACAGGTATGGACCACTGTATCCTGGCTTTCACCTATGTTCTGTAAACCATAGGGACACCAGTGTTCTCACAAGGAACCCATGGTCAGGGATCCCCCAGAGCACCCTCAGGCTTGATTTGCAGGACTCACCTGAGAGAAGCCATCATACTCACAGCTATAGCTTATTACAGTGGAAGGATATAGATTAAAGTCAGCTGAGGTTCAAGGTGCATAGAGTAAGGACCAGGGGAGGCCAGTGTGAGCTTCTAGGTGGCCTCACAGGGAGCATGCAGACAGTGCTTGCTTCTCTCATTAGCCATGTGGAACAATGTACATGGAGTATAGTCAGCCAGGAAGCTCACTTGGTCCCTGGTGTCTAGGGACCAAGAGTGAATGAATGAAAGTGTCAGGTTGGGGGAAGGGCCCAAGTGAAAAATGACAGAATGTCAATGTCTAAATGATGAGGCCAGTGTGTCTGGGGTTTTATTGGGGTCAATTGTGTAGGCGTTGAGCACCATAGTTGGTGACCTGGGTGGTTCAGGCACCAGCCACCCCAAAGTTTATCCAGTTCTACGTGGCCCAAGGCCCCCACCTGCATCATAGCATCAGCATAGATTACCTGGCTTGGGTCCTAAAACCCAGGTGAACCAGACATGGTCATCAGGCAGGATGTTCAAGAGCCTTAGAGGTCATCCTCTAGGAGCCAGGCAGGACCCAGACTCAACTTTAGGAGGTTCAGGCTGTGGCCACCTCATGGACCTGTGAGTTGGCTCTTCAGTGTACTGTCCCCAAAGGATGACATGCTTACTGTGGGCTGAGGAGGGTGTTTCAGGGCCTTTCTGACTTGGCTGCTCTCAAGATCCTGGGACAATAGTTGAGCAGGATATGTGCTGTCCGGGAAGGGCAAGGTGGGGGCATGGGAGTGGGGGGCACCTGATGCAGGCAGACTGCCAGCCCTGGAGGAAAGGCATATGCTGTGTGCCTCACTACTGGGAACTTCTGGCTCAAGGTGCTTGTTTCTCATTTGTGGAAGTGTAAAGAGTTTGCTAGGGCTGCGGAAGCAGAGTACCACACACTGGGGGCTTAAACAACAGATCTGTTTTCCCCCAGTTCTGGAGGCCAGAAGACTGAGTTCAAGATGTGGTCAGGGTAGATTCCTTCTGAGGACTGCAAGGGAGAATCCATTCAAGGTCCTCTCCCAGTGTCTAGTGGCTCCTGGCAGTCGTTGGTGTTCCTTGGCTGGCAGCTGCATCTCTTCAGTGTCTGCTTCTGTCATCATGTGACCTTCTCTCTGTGCATTTCTTTTTATAAGAACACCAGTGTCAAATAAAGGTGGGCATTCCTTTTAACTGTGAAAACAGATTTTGTTCAGTAACTGTTGTCAGTAGGGAAAAGAGCTGAGATTATAGTTGACCAGTATTTTAAAGAGAGAATGGTGGCTAGAATGTAGCTCAGTGGTAGAGAGTGTACTTAGCATGCATGAGGCCTGAGGTTCCAACCCTAGCATTGAAAGAGAGGGGGCAGACTATGAATTAGAGTGTCAGGTGCGGGGAAGGGCCCAAGTGAAAAATGACAAAGGGTATCAGCATCCAGGTGATGAAGCCAGTGTGTCTCTGAGCTGGCAGTTAATAAAGTTAGGATTATGTTCTCTCAAAGAGACTGGGAGAGTGTGGAAACATCTTTTGATGATTCCATTTCAAAGGAATAGCTCTTAAGTCCTTGAGGTAGACACTGATAGGTTGTAGAAGATACACAGATATCTGAGACAGAGGAAGGACTCATAGCTGACAGTTCTTGTAGTAAATGCTCCAAGAAAGGTCAGTGATCTATGTTAGGTGTTGGCCAGAATGGATAGTTCTTTTAACAGCTGTGAGCATTTCCATACAGCATCTGGGAAGCTGCCTGGTGCATCTCACTAGCATGGCCTTAGGCTGTTGAAAGCCCTATTAAAGTTTGATTAAGTATGTCTCTGTCTCTGTCTCTGTCTGTCTGTCTCTCTCTCTCTCTCTCTCTCTCTCTCTCTCTCTCTCGGAATTGAATCCAGGGCACCACTGAGCTATGTTCCTAGCCATTTTATTTTATTTTGAGACAGGATCTCACTAAGTTGCCCAGTCTAGCCTTGAACTTGCCGTCTTCCCGCCTCAGCTTTCCTACTTGGGTTAAGTCTCTTAAATGCAGGGTTTGAATGGAGTGTTTGCAGAAAGTCCCCCTACCACCACTGAACTACATCCCCAGACCTTTTCATTTGTTATTTTCAGTCTTGCTAAGTTGCTGAGGCTGGCCTTAGACTTGTCTTCCTTGTGCCTCAGCCTCCCAAGTTACTGGGATTACAGGCATGTGCCACTGAGCACAGAGAGTTTTTATTATTAGTATTTAAAAAGATTCAGTATCCACTCTTGCTTTGTGAAACCTCCCATCTTCTAAGGGCCCTACGCCCACAGACTAGGCTTGTATTTTTGTTGCTGTTCAAGTCTTGCCTCCTTTGGCATCGACTCTCAAAGATAAGAGAGCTTGCCTGCTGGGGCCATAGTCACATGGCCTCCAGGTTCGGACCTTATGGTCTGGTGGCCAGGGTAGTACCTGAGCTGTCAGGAGCCACACAGGACTCCAGATACCTCTATGTTCGTGTGTCTCTTTGGGGTCCCTTGTTCCCCATCCACAGGGATGCAGGAAGGACTAGGAGGCATGGACTCTTGGGACTTGATCCCTTCACATTGCCTCAGTTGCCTTGCTAGGGTTGGGTAGCTGCTGGAGGTGAGGCATAAGATGAGTTGGGGAGGGATGGGAAGAGACTGGTAAATATATCTCATCCAGCAGCAAGGGTCAAGGTGGACCACTGGGGAAGGTCAGGTGGCCATCACACTCATGAGGCTCTGGGGTGTCTGGGTTTGGAAAGTGATGAGGACAGGAGAGAAGCCCTGAGGGTGCACATACCTCAGTCATTTGCAGGTTGCCCCTTAGGAACTGGGGATGCCAGGAGTGGGAAGCTGGGCAGAAAGTAGCACTAACAGGAGGTGACCTTTTCTTCTATAGCAGATGGCTGAGGACAAGGCGTCTGTGAAAGCCCAGGTGACATCCTTGCTGGGGGAGCTCCAAGAGAGCCAGAGTCGCTTAGAGGCTGCCATCAAGGAACGGCAGGATTTGGAGGGCAGGTGAGTAGGGAGGGAAAACCAGTCCTGGAGGCCACTTCCAGGGTTTCAAATGAGGAGGGTGTAGAAGCCTCTGGGGATTCCTCTATGAGAGGGCAGATGTCTGTTATGGCAGATTTTTGACAGTTCTGGTCCAGGTATCCAGGACATGGCTCCTAGCTATTACTTCTAGGCTTTCCAGTCCTTTGCTAGAGTTTGTGTTATTTCCTTTGGAAGCTTTTCATGGGCCCCCAAGGCCACACTCTGATAGGTGATTCTCTGGAAGCACTCCCAGGACGCAGCACATAGTTGCCTTCCAGGCTGAGGTTTATCACAGGGGAAGGGTGCACTGTGGGATCCTCTAGTATAAGATCCCTAGCTGAAGACTGGAGAAGCCTGCCTCAGGCTCTCTGTGTACCCCTCTGAGGTATACAGAGTAAACCACTTCCCACATGTGCCTAATGGAGATAGCACCTTGGGTTTCTTCTGGGGGCTACTCATGTTGGCACCCTCTCCAAGGCACATACTAAAATTCCTGAATCCTGGCAGAATGTGTGGGTGCTCACCTTAGTGAATGTTGTTTATACAGAGTTTGGGCACAGGAGCCACCCTTATCAGCAGGGAAAGCATCTGAGCAGTGCAGGGAACTTGCACCAGCTGAGGGTCAACCTTGAAAGCTAGCTGCCTCAGGCCTGCCTGTTATTCTTTTGCAAAGTGAGTTTGGTCATTTTAAGTGGGATCATTTGGTCAAAGTGCAGGGATGGTGCTCTGGTTCTTATACTGCCCTGCTGCTGCTCTCCAGACATTTGGATGCAGCTGACATGGTGGCCTCAGCCCTCTTAATGCAGTATTAAGGTGGTCATTGTGCACATGGGGTAGTTGTCAGGGAAACCTTTCTGCAGAAGAGGGTAACTAGACTCCAGTTCAGAAAGAGCTGGTGGTGGAAGTGAAGAGGAAGCATGAGCAAAGGCAGAAGTGGAGAAGGCCTGATACTTCAGGCCTGCCTTGTCAGAGTTGTGGTGACCTTCAGCTGGAGGCTACCACAGGGCCACATGGAAACATCCACCATTGCTGCTGCAGTGGTGGCTTTTTTTGTTTGTTTGTTTTTTATGTGATACTGGGATTTGAGCTACATCCCCAGCCCTTTTTATCTTTTATTTTGAGACAGGGTCTTGCTAAGTTACTGAGACTGGCCTGTACTTGAGATCCTCTTGCCTCAGTCTTCCAAGTTGCTGAGATTATAGGCATATGCCACTGTGCCTGAGTAGTGGGTATTGAAGGCCCTGGGGCAGCAGGATAATGAGGCTGGAGCTTGAAATTGGAGATTAAGGAAGCTGTGAGGCTCAAATCAGAGGATTTGGGGATCATAGGGTGATTGAGGTGAGACAGCCTGAGCTGTTGTAGTGAGATGGAGAGAGAAATTCCCTACCAGGGCCATTGATGTCATGTCCTGTCTTACAACTCCCTGTGATCCAGGTGTGGGAACTGAGCCTGCAAACAGCTGGGACTCCAGCTGAGCTGTGGGCAGCAACAGGGCTGGAGCTGAGCTCTGGTCTGCTGTTGAGTTCAGTGTTTGCATTCTCAGGTGGGCAGTCTCCCTATTTTTTCTGGAATAGTCTGTCCTGACACCCATTCCCTGAGACTGCTCTTGTTGAGGCCCCAGCACCTTCCTAGAGGTTCCTCTCACATTGTAGTGGGCATCTTGGGATGCAGGTGGGCCATCCTTTTTTCAGTTCACCCCCTTCTCTTGGCTTTTAGTCTCCTAGCCATCTGCACTTGGTTGTTTCCTGGGCCCCTGTACTGGAGCAAATTCATCTCAGGTGGAGCTCCTTATCATCTGTTCTCCACCTGGCTCCCAGTCTTCTTTCCTATTTTTGGTGGCAGTGCCTCCACTCTGCCACTCAGAGTCAGCAGTCACAGGGTGTTCAGAACCTAACCCCTTGCCCATGCTGTCCTTTTTGATGCCCCCTCAATGTGTTCTTCCTTCCTGTGCCAGGGTGCGGGCCGCCAGTGAGCAGGCCAGGCAGCTGGAGAGTGAGCGGGAGGCACTGCAGCAGCAACACAGTGTACAGGTGGACCAGCTGCGCATGCAGAGCCAGAGTGTGGAGGCCGCCCTGCGCATGGAGCGTCAGGCTGCCTCGGAGGAGAAGTGAGTTGGTGTGGAGGGGTGGTACTGGGGGTTGCCAACGGGCCTGTGGCTTTTCCTGCCTTCTGGGGAGCCCTTGCAGGGACTGGCTGTGGATGAGGGTTGACTCCCCACCTTAGCCTTGCTAATAGTAGAGTCCATTGTTATCATAGTCAAATAATTCATCTTTGAGACTAGACAAAAAAATTTTTTTGGTAATGGAGATTGAACCCAGGGGTGCTATATCACTGGCTGACCCTATATCCCCAGTCCTTTCTTATATTTTTTTGAGACAGGGTCTTGCTAAGTTGCTGAGGCTGGCCTCAAATCTGCCATCCTTCTGCCTCAGCCTCCTGAGTCACTGGGATTATAGATGTGTACCACTGCACCTGGCTAAGACAAAAATATTATCTTTGGTTCAGTCCGCATTCATATTTCCCTTTGTATTCTCCAAATGTTCTTGCCAGCCCTTCTACTGCTTTCTGGTCTAGGATCCCAAGTTCCTTTCCTTGGCATGCCTTTTCAGTCTCCTTTAATCTAGAACACTCTCCCTGCCTTTCTATGCTTTTCATGAAGTTGACAATTTTGAAGATTACAGGATAGTTCCACCTTATGACAAACATTTTATTAATTTTTTTATTGTTTTGCAATACTGAGGATGGAACCCAGGGCTTTGCACATGCTAGGCAAGCACTCTATCACTGAGCTACACCCCTAGTCCTTATTATAAACATTTAAAATTATTGGCTTTAAGGAAACTGATAGGAACTATTGAGTAACCAAGTCAGTTGCAGTGAATATTTGTTGTCAGCAAAGCCTGCCTCAGAGTTGATGACCTTAGGAGTCCAGATGTACCCTTGGAAGGCCCCATTCCAGGTTTGTGATATGACAAGAATTAAGAGGGTAGAGCTAGAGGCAGGGAAGCCATGCCTGGGCTGGGACAAAGTGGTTTCTCCAATGAAAGCTCCTTTTTTGTGCAGGAGGAAGCTGGCCCAATTGCAGGTAGCCTATCATCAGCTCTTCCAAGACTATGACAACCACATCAAGAGTAGTATGGTGAGCAGCGAGCGCAAGCGAGTAAGTATGGCCAGCCTGCGCTGTCTTGAGAGGACTTCACCTCTTCCTGTCTCCCCAAAGACAGACAAGATCACAGTTCTTGAGACCTGAAAGAATTAGATTTGGGGGTGCGGGGATACTTGACTTGCCCTAGACCTTCCTTAGGCTGCAGCTGTGACAGTTCAGAGAAGGCCACAGGGATATGGGGCACATTGCCAGGTCCCAGGGTGGGCTGGCCTAGGGACACATTCAGCCCTCACCAGTGTAGTTCTTGGCTAAATTTTCCCTGAGCCAGGAAAAGCTGTAGTATTGATTGTATCCCAGCATGGAAAGAGAGCCGAAAGCTCTTTTCTAGTTTGTCCTCACAAGACCTAAACTGGGTGCGGTTTTAGCAATCACATTTTAAGAAGGATATTGTCAACCACAGATGTACTCTGCGGAGATTTATGAGGATTAAGCCTGAAACCAGGTCACCTGAGGAAAAGTTAGTTACAAAAATGGCACTTAATCTCTGGAACGAAATCCTGGCATGGAGGCAGGGTGTAGGGGGAGCGGAGGAAGTGTGTATGTGTGTTTATGGGGAGGGGTGTCTGTGTGGGATGAGCAGACCTTTGATCAGATGGCTGAGTGGAAGGACTAATGGATTGAGGCTTAGATGGTGGGTCTATAGTTGGTAGCATATGGAGTGGGCAGCCTCAGGATGGAGTGTGGCTCTTGTCCTTAAAGGGTTGAAGGATTCTGTGAAGGGAATGAGTGCCTTGGTGGGAGGATGAACCAGATGGCCTCAGAGTTCTTCTCAATTCCAAGATCCTTAATATGTCTTGAAAAAAAAACCTCAGCATTTCTTAAGTCCTGTGGGGAAGTACCAGGATGCAGCTTTCTTGCATATGTTGAGATCTTGTGATTGGCCCTGAAATCCAAGGAGCTGGTGTTGTCCCAGCTTTGGCCAGCCAGGGCTCCCTTTTGTCCTCAATTCTCACTCGAAGCAGTGGCCTACCTGGGTAATGGCTCCACCCTGCCCTGTTCTGGGAGGCTCTGTCAGTGCCCTTTGCCAATCTCTAGGGAATGCAGCTGGAGGATCTCAGGCAGCAGCTCCAGCAGGCTGAGGAGGCCCTGGTGGCCAAGCAGGAAGTGATTGACAAACTAAAGGAAGAGGCTGAGCAGCATAAGATTGTGATGGAGACGGTACCAGTCCTGAAGGCCCAGGTGAGGTCTCTCCTCCTTATTGCGATCCTTGACCTCCCAGTGTGCTTGGGGTTACTTGTGATGTATTTGCTCCCTCTGTGTTGCCAGAGGTTCACAGAGGGCATGAGGAGGTTTCACTTTGTTACCCCAGGCCTATCATGATGTGCCCAATGGGTGGTGGGCGTGTCCCTCTCTTGAATTTTGCCAGGCGGATATCTACAAGGCAGACTTCCAGGCTGAGAGGGAGGCCCGGGAGAAGCTGGCTGAGAAGAAAGAGCATCTGCAGGAGCAGCTGGAGCAGCTGCAGCGGGAGTATAGCAAGCTAAAAGCCAGCTGCCAGGAATCAGCCAGGTAGGCTTCCAAGAGTGGCCATGTGAGGAGTGGGCGTAGCACTCGGCAGTGACCAGTAGTAATTGCAGGAGACTGATGACTCCTGGCTTTCAGATTAGGTTCCCTGTACTTCCCTTTCCTCTCCATCCACCCTATCCTTCCAATGGCCTTTTCTGCTGCTCCAGGTAGGAGCCTCACAAAAATGCATGCATTGATTGGACGGTTTCTGTTTTCAAAGGATTGAGGATATGAGGAAGCGGCATGTAGAGGCCTCCCAGCCCCCTTTACCCCCTACCCCAGGTGAGTGAGTGAGCATTGTTCTGCAGGAGGTGGGTGGGGAGGGCAGTGTACCGCTCTAGGAGAAGGCTCATTTCAGCCCTGAAGGTGGGTATCCCTGCTGCTCCCATCACTCACCCCACCCTGCCCCACCCTGAGGCCAAGGGGAGAATGTGGTGGTAGTGCTGGCTCCTGGTCACACAGTGGTGTTGATCCTAATGGTTGAACATGGCAGTCCTATCCAGTTTTGGTACCTTGTCAACCTCCCCTTCCCTCTGATTAGTACCCAGCTTGTACACAAGACCTACTTCCTGGTGCCTCTTTTCTTTTCTCAGCTCACCACTCCTTTCACCCGGCCGTACCCAACCAAAGGAGAAGCCCCCCTGAGGAGCCACCTGACTTTTGTTGTCCTAAGTGCCAGTACCAGGCTCCTGATATGGACACCCTACAGATACATGTCATGGAGTGCATCGAGTAGGGCCAGCAGATGCAAGGCTGCCTGAAGACGCCACACCCAGGACAATTCGATTTGTGCTTTCCTCTCCCACCTGCCTAATTCAGAATTAAGGGTTTGGTGGATAATGAGCAGGTCCTAGGAGCTTGCTGCAGAGCTCTTGCTTAAGTCTCTTGGTCTGCAGGTCCCCTCTTTGAGGGAAGAGGAAGCCTGAGTCAGACCTGATTCTCTGCTCTTTTCCTTCTGTCCTATCTGCCTGAACTACCTGTGTCTAGTGGCTAATCCATCCTTCCTTTCCCATCCCTGCAGAGAGGTTGGGCCAGGGACTCTCAGGGAGGACCACTTTTCCTTCCATTGGCTACCGACTTGCTGGCTCTGAGCTCCAGCCTCTCCTCCTGGGCCATGTGATAATCCACTTTGCAGCTGTACCAGGGTTGGTTGAACCAGTTGCTGCTGATGGCGTTTGGGTTGTTTGTAGTCCTTTTGCTCTCATAAATAATGGTGCAACGAAAATGCTTATGCACTAATCATGTGTATCTTTGCTAAGCAAGAGGTGGGTAGACCTTTGTATTTTTGCCACCTGCTGGGCATGCTACTCTTCACTAAGAGGGAGCTTAAGCATATTTTCCAAGGGGTATGTACCCTTTTTAATTCTTTTGTGAATGGGCTGTACATATCTTTTATCCATTTTCCTATTAGATTGTTACTTTTTGTTCCTCATTTTTTTAGGGGCTCTTTTGTCATTGGCAAGATTAGCTCTTGTCTGTAACAGAAAGTACATGTTTCTTTTCCCCTTTGATTTTGTCAGTGTAGTGTTCTGGCCTTGAGTGTTTTTTATTTTACATAGTCACATTATCCTTTTCCCGCTTCCATTGTTTTGGGTTTGGAGTTGTGAGCACTTTGTGGTCTGATGGATGCTTCACACGCATATACTTTATTTTTTCTAACACCAAAGTGTGCCCTTGTCTTTGCCAAGCACTTATTGCCCAGTGTGAGTGGTTGTTGTGGTTCATCACATTCTAGAAGTGTCTGATACTGTATCAGCCCCAGATTCCTTGGCTTTACAGATGGAAGCCAGTTGACAATGATTGGCAGATGAGGAAGAATAGGGGACTCTTCACTTGTTTTGTAAAGTTCTGGATATTTCCTAAGATATTGAAGCCATGGGAACTAACTCTGCAATTCTAGTAAAGGAAAGGAAGTTGGAAATTGAGAAACACTCCAGTATCTATGTATCATTCACTTCTCAGTTCTGGGCCCTCCTTCCCTCAGCCCTCCAAGCTCCCTTGTTAGGAACAAGATGTAGATCTATCCCTGGGCTTTTTCACAGGGCTTTCTGCTGTTTGATAGTGAGAAGAATGACTAGAATTAGGATATTAGGACTTTTAAAAATAAGCCTCAGCTGGGAGCTTTCTTAGCATCTATAGGAAGTGGGGAAAAACTTTTCTATTTCCTAATGCCCACATATCTATCACACAGTACTTTGGGGAAGTGTTAAATACCCAGACAGGTTCTCTGCTCATGGTACTGCACTTAATACGTATTCCTGTAATTTTTCTGTAAGAGCACTATTTTGTTTTGGAGTGGTGCATGAGTTTCTGGTGGTTGCTCTAACAGATCACCAGAAACTTGGTGCCATTAAACAACAAAAACTTATTTTTTCATTTCTTGGAAGCCAGATACCTGAAGTCAAGTTGTTTTTTTGGAGCTCTGAGAATAAGTTCTGGGCCTGTTTCCTAGCTTCTGGTGGTTGCTGACAGTTCTTGGCTTGTACACCCATTATTCTTATCACTGCCTCTTTGTCACATGGCCTCTTCTATGTTTTCTGTTTCTTTTAAGGATACCAGATGTTGGATGTGGGGTCTATCAGGGTAATTCAGTATGATCTCCTCATCTTGTTATCCCTACCTTCACTACATCTATAAAGACCCCTTTCCCCAAAAAGGCCACATTCACAAGTTATTGGAGTTTGGACTTACACTTATCTTTTTGGAGCTACCATTCAACCCAGTATGAGGTTATCTGATTCAGATGTTAAAGATCAGGGCAAAGATCAGTTACCAAAGGCAGGTAACTCTAAGACCTGCAGATCTGCTAGCAGGACTTGGTCCCCAGGGTGGTGGTAGCCACCAGGCTACAGAATTTGATGTGGATTAACTCGGGGGACATCTTGTCTCTAAGTGGACACAACTGCCAGGGCCAGCAGGTATGACTGGGAGAGGCAGATAAGGTAGGTTGCAATAGGACCTTTTGCACCCTGTGTAGTGGCCACTAGCTGTGTAAGGACAGGTTTTATGCTTCTCAGGAGGGTGAACAGAGGTGTGTAGGAGCTCCTTCCTGATGAGCACCCTCTTCTGAAAGGGGCATAGAAAGAAGGTGAGACCCAAGGACACTGAGGAACTTTTCCAGGTGGATTATACAGCAGAGTTATCTGCAAGCCTGAAAAACACTCTGGCCTGGGCCCCCTGGACTGGTTGAGTCAGAATCAGGATGAGACCTGACTGGTTAGGACTCAATATGTTTTCCAGAGGCTGAGTGCCCTTGTTATGTGCTTCCCCCTTAGTGCTGGGCAGGTTTCGCCACACATTAGACAAAAGGTTTTGAATCCTACCATTTGCCCAGACATAGGGCATTCTACTTTCTTCTATTCTGGCCTTACTTAGGTTGGGCTTGTGGAACAACTTGTTCCTCCCATGAGGGAACCAGCCTGCCTTATAATTGAGGCCCATAAATCCATATAGCTAGAAATGTGTTCTACCCAGAACCCATGTCATTACCTTGTTGCTCAGGCATGTGTCCACTCCTCTTGGCTAAAGTCCAAGGGAAATCCAGACAGCCAATAAGCAGAGTACAAGAGTATTCCCATGCACTAGTAACCAAAACAACACAAACACAAACAATAAGCAAAAATGGTGTCAAACTAGAAACAGATGCAGTACTGCATGTAGGGCCCTGCTGAACAGGTGTGACATAGGCTTTATGATGGCATGCCTTATGAGGGGGCTGTTTGGTGAGTTGAAGCAAACATGTGAGAAGCATCCTCAGCTTTCTTCACCTTAAGACAGCAACTTGCACATTATCATCTGGCTACCAATGGCTGGTACATCCAGCATTTTGAACATCTTGCATATGGGTTGTGTTCTTTAGTATGTTGGTGTGGAAAGGCCAGGGGATGAAGTTATGTATAATGTGTGAAATGAAGCAGAAACTCCCAAGTGTACATCCTGCTGTCATTTGGATGGATATAGTATTGGAATTACTAGTAATGAAAAGGTTCCCCCCCATCATTCCCTGTTGTCACATATTCTTCCTTTGTGTCAGTCTCCTCTCTATAGGGATACCAGTGTCAAAAGAGATGGACAGACATTCATTAAAGCTGTGACAGTAGGGGAAAGAGCTGAGCTCTGAGCCAATCTGCAGAGGTGACTTTGTTAGAAGGGAGACTAGGGCCAGAGTAGCATCAGAGTCCTGAGTATTGAGCTGCAGCCAACAAGATGACTGATGCCTGGCTGTGGAGGGGCAGTGGAAGAGGAATTAAGGGCGGCTCCTGGACTTTTGGTTTAAACTGTGTATGCTGGGCCACCTATCAAGATTGGGACAAGGGAAAGGGAAGGTCAAAGTTAGGGGAGGGCTTTAAAGTCCACTTTGGCTTCAGCCAGGCTCTGTGTGAAATCCTCCTCAGTCCATGTTTTTCCTGGACTATTATGGTGTTGTCCTCACTGATTTCACTTGATACTGCAGGCTCTCCAGTCTGTTTCTTACACAGCAACCACAGTGATCTGGTAAATCTGTGTTTCTACTTTGCTTAATAATCCAGTGGCTTTCTGTTACTCCTCTTTTTGGTGCTGGAGGATTGAATCCAGGGGTGCCCTGCCATTGAGCTATATCCACAGCCCCTTTTTCTTTTTATTCTTTTTGAAAGAATAAAACTTAGTGAGACACAGCCCCCTCATAAGGCATGCCATCATAAAGCCTGAGTCTCACTAAGTTGGTGAGGCTGGCCTTGAACTTGCCACCTTCCTGCCTCAGCCTCCTGAGTACCTGGGGCTTCATGTATGTGCTACCACGCCCAGCTTTCTCTTACTCATGAGACCTAAATTCCATCCTCAGCCTTATGTTGCTTTGACCTCATTTCATGTCCTTTCCCTGCTGGCCCAGTCACACCACACTGTTCTTTTTTCCTCCTTTCCTCAAACATACAACACTTCTGTGTCTTAAGGCCTTTGTCCCTGTTGCCCCTTCTGCCAGGAAGACTCTGACCTGTAATCTTTGTGTAATTGCCTTCTTTTTGTCATTCAGCTCTGAGTGTAAACATCACCTCCTTCATCTGAAGTCTTAATCCTAGATCATGTTGCCTTGTTTTAATTCTTGGCTAGATAGTTAAAGTGACCTATTTTCTGTTTTGTTTCTGCTCTCCCTCTAGTGGAGGGAGAGCAGAAGCCTCATCCGTCCTAGTCAGGCAAAATCCCTAGAACAGTGCTCAGCACGAAGTGATAGTGCATGTTTATTGATGGTATGAGCTTGTCTCACACTGTCATCAGTATTGCTCTGTCAGTATTTTTGCGGACATCACCTGTCTATAAATGGTGGTTGCTGGAATTTACTATATTAATATGATAGAAACTATAGCACTGAAAACCTATTTTAGGCATTGGGTGACTACCTGTGGGGGGACTTCTTATAAACATTTAAACAGTTTGTTCAGAATTTGAATGTCTAGATCATGTTGGCCTTATCATGAATAGGCAAGAACACAGACTCTGAGACCACATGGACATGTCCTGCTCTGCCCCTCACTTAATTTCTCTGAGCCTTGAGGTGATGGCATGCACTTAGGACAGTGCCTGACCCTAGGTAGACGGGATAACTGTGAAGGCCATTCTAGTTTAGGTGGTTCCCCAAACGATTTTCCATTAGGTTGTTATTACTGTAAAGGTTTCAGATGTTTAAGGAAAGTTGGTGATTGCCTAGCACTAGAGGACTTGGGGTCAGATGGAGTGACTGCTAATGGATACAGACTTTATTTTTGGGGTGATGAGCATGTTATGAAATTGATTATGGTGATAGTTGGCACTTATCTACGAATATGCTACAGACCATTGAATTGTGTACTTCAAGATGGGTGAATTGTATGATCTATGGATTAAACCTCAATAAAGCTGGTATTAAAAAGTATCAATTGGGCATTGGTGGTGACATATCTGTAATCCCAGATACTCAGGAGAATGAGGCAGGAGGATGGCAAGTTGGAGGCCAGCCTCTGCTACATAGTGAGACCCTGTCTCAAAAAATAAAAAGGGCTGGAGATGTAACTCAGAGTACTTGTCTAGTATATGTGAGGCCCTGGGTTCAATCCCCAGAACCCAAACCAAAAAAAGTCATCTAAGAGCACTGTTTAGCTTCATATAAGTCACTTATGAAAATGGAAATAAAGACCCAGAAATACAGACCAACATTTACATCTCCTAAAACTGTTTGACAAGTGACTTTTTCATGAATTCTTGGTTCTATTTCACTAACTAGAAGGGCAGAAGAATTGGAGGTGGAGATTAGGGGATTGTCTGACTTCCTCTTATGAAACTGAGTGATACTACTCTGTCCTTTCCCCCAGACAGCCAGGGATGGTACCAACCAGAAGACTGGCATCTGCTCTGGTATTGGGCCAAGGCTACTTTCTCTGCCTCATGCAGAGGCAAGCCTCCTCAAGTGAGAGTGTCTGTGCTTTTAGAGGGCAGGCAATTGATGGCTGCTACTGGGTTCCCAGAGAAGCAACTGGACAGGCAACTGTGGTAGATACTGTCAGTCAGGAAGCAGGGAGATTGGGAGATAGCAGCCTTTCTAGAATTCCATTGGTTCTGAATGTCCCAGGCCTGGGGGTGGAGTGAGATTTAATTTCTCAGCCTGGCAGAGCCACAGTGGACAAATGTTTGCCATACTTGGAAAATAAGGTTTTTCCAATATGGACAGGGTGTATGGCTGTGTGTCCACCCTAAAAAGTATTGCAGAACAAATAGTATACAGAAAACCAAAACCAAAACAACAATGAGAAAAGGTGCTATGGGCAAGGAAGGTGTCATGAGACAAAAACTTCAGATACTGGAACCATTGGATATTGATAACAACTGAACTTAAAAAGTTTAAAGGGAAAAAAAGAGGTTTGGAAACACCTGCAGGGAATAGGAAACTATAGAAAGTGATAAATCCAAGGTAGTAAATCTGAATTGGAACTATCAGCATGAACTCATTTTTATCATATATATATATATATTTTGGTTGTAGAGTGACACAATACCTTTATTTATATGTGGTGCTGAGAATTGAACCCAGTGCCTCACACATGCTAGGCAAGTGCTCTACCCCTGAGCTACTACTTCAACCCCTTATTTTTATTTTTCTAAAAACTACAGATTTTCTTTATTTGTCTCCTGAAATGGCCTGGAAGCAATGATAACCCCGTAGCAGGTGGCATCAAGACTGTGGTCTTGAAATGTTCCCACTGAGGGGGAACCAGGGCTCTCTGGAGAAATGACTTATTTCAGATATGAGGCAGGAGGTGCTCACAGTAAACTTGAAACATCATCTTAGAAAGGTAAACTATCAAAGACCTTGAGTTTTTTTTTTTTTTTTTTTTTCAGGAGGATGCAGCTAAACACAAGAGAGAAATCTGGCTGTGACATCTGTTACCCCACGGTCACCAGGGTTAATTTAGCAGATCTAGCTGGCTAGCTGGGTGTCCTTTTTCCCACTTCTCTATATGCATCCCTCCTGAAGCTGTGTGATCAAAGAGGGTGGCCCACCCTTGTTCTTTAGTCAAGGATATGCAAGTAGGTGTGCTTCCCTGCTAGAACTTCCAAACAAGCTCTCAAAGTTGCTGCTGGCATAAGCATATGGGAACAGCAAAAATAATAATGGATCTTCCTGCCAGCTTCCCTACTTGTCCCTTCTGCTTCCATCTTTCGCTCCTGGGCACCCTTGAGCCCAAGGGCCTCAAGTGAGGGCAGTTACACTCTGGAGGGATTTGGGACAGTGTGAGAGAATGATCCTCCATTGAGTGTGGTAGTGTCCTGTGCAAGAAAGTTTTTTTTTTTTTTTGTACCAGGGATTGAACCACTGAGTCACATCCCCAGCCCTTTTTTATTTTTATTTTTTATTTTGATACTGGGTCTCAATCAGTTGCTGAGGCTTGCCTGGAACTTGTGATCTTCCTGCTTCAGTTTCTTTTTTTTTTTTTAAAGAGAGAGTGAGAATGAGAGAGAGAGAGAGAGAGAGAGAGAGAGAGAGAGAGAGAGAGAGAGAGAGAGAGAGAATTTTTTAATATTTATTTTTTATTTTTCGGCGGACACGACATCTTTGTTTGTATGTGGTGCTGAGGATCGAACCCGGGCCGCACGCATGCCAGGCGAGCGCGCTACCGCTTGAGCCACATCCCCAGCCCCTGCTTCAGTTTCTTGAGCTGCTCGGATCATAAGTGCGTGACACCATGCCTGGCAAGATTTGCTTTTTTAGAGTCTATTTTATTAATATGTTTGATAACAGGGCTAGGGTTGTGGCTCAGTGGTAGAGCACTTGCCTGGCATGTGTGGGGCACTGGGTTCCATCCTTAGTACCACATATAAATAAATAAAATAAAGATACTGTGTCCATCTATTACCAAAAAATTAAAAAATGTTTGATAACAGAATGACAAAATTGAGAATAATTGAGAATTGTGTCTGCCAAGGGTTTTTTTTTTCAGTGCTGGGGATTAAACCTAGGGCCTTACAAATGCTAGGCAAGTGCTCTACCACTGAGCTACATCCTCAGCCCTGCCAGGGTTCTTAATACTTATAAAACATCTTATAGTCAGGCACGATGGTACACGCCTGTAATCCTAGCAACTCAGGAGGATTGCAAATTCAAGACCAGCCTCAGCAACTTAGTGGGACCCCAAGGACTTAGCAAGACCCAAACTCAAAACAAAAACAGAAGAAGTTGGGGATGTGGCTCAGTGGTTAAGCACTGCTGGGTTAAATTCCCAGTACCATTTTTTTTAAATAGATAAAAATCCCTATATTCCTATATCACACTTGTAGGCAGCTTGGTTTTTAGTTTTATTTCCTTTTGTTTTTGTCTTACTTAAATCAGTATAACTGAATGTACATAGATTAACTTAATAGGTATACTACTTTATTCCAAGAGAGCTATTCATATTTATGAACAGGGAGCTACTGATACTTACCATAAATATGATAATCTGTCATATCTCACTGTGTAATTGTCACAGATTTTATATCTTTTTTTTGTAAAAAAGTGGAGTGTAGCCATTATATGAAGATTTTTTAAAAAATTGTGCCAGTATTACTTAAACATCATTTATTACTAAACTATCTTTGGTGCAAGATTAGGAGGCATGAAATATTCTTGAATGTGGTGGCAATGATCATGAGGTGAGATAAGGCAAGTGAATGGTACTGAGAATAGCATACAAGCTGTGAGATGAGTTTAATGTAGACATAAAGTTATAAATTATCTTTAGGATGTGGGGATAAAACCAGTTATAATAAAGAAATATTGATGTTCTTCTGTATATATCAGATATACCTTCTTTTTCTGTATTATGGATGAAACAAAATATTTTATTTTGGTACTAGGGATTAGAACCCAGGAGCATTTTACTACATCCCCAGTATCTTTACCATATCCATTGAGCACAATCCTAGCCCTTTTTATTTTTTTATTTTGAGACAGGGTCTCGTTAGGTTGCTTTGGGCCTTGCTAAATTGCTGAGGCTGGCTTTGAACTTGTGATTCTCCTGTCTCAGCCTCCTGAGTTGCTGGGATTACAGGTGTGCACCGCCATGCCCAGGTAAAATGTTTTATTTTTAATACAATCAATAAGATACTTTTTGTATTTTATATACTTAGTTTTATTGTAATCAACATGCTAATTGTACAAATTAATGATTTTACTGTGCTCTTTCCATACATGCACACATCACACCTCGATCCCCACTCCCTTCTCCCTTCTCTTGTCCTCCACCCAACATCTCCTTCTCCTTTCTTAATAGTCCTTCTTCTACTTCCAGGTAAGCTCCCTAAGACCAACCCTGTGGCCCTATGCCTGTTACAGCTGTAGTGCCCATATATTTTCTCTTATATGTGCAGGTGGATGCTGAGGCTGGCTGTTAGGGGATTGAGAAATCAGAGCTTTAGGTGTCAAGTGGAGCTGAAGTGTTAAACTGGAAACTTGGAAGATGCATAAGTTTTCTAGGGCTGTTGCTACAAAGTGTCACAAACTGGGTGGCTTAAAAGAATAGAAATTTATTCTCTTATAGTACAGCAGGCCAGAAGCCTGATATTAAGGTGTCACCATGTCATGCTTTCTCTGAAAGTTGTAGGGAAGTTGTTGCATGACTTTCTTCTTGTTTCGGGTGGTTGCTGGCCATCCTTGGAATTCTGGTCTGATAGACATATCACTCCATGTTTGCATTCATCTTCATATTGGCTTCTTCTCTCTCTCTCTGCCTTTTTCCTTCTTTTAAAAAACAAGGGTATCAGTTGTATTGCATTTAGGGCCCATCCTACTTCAGTATGACCTCATCTTAATCTGATGATGCTTACAAAAACCCAAATTCCAAATAAACTCACATTCACAGGCACCATGAGTTAGCATACGCCACTAAGTCTGGCTTGCTCCTAATTCCTTTTTCTAATATTTATTTTTTAGTTGTAGGTGGACAAAATATCTTTATTTCATTTTTATGTGGTGCTAAGGATTGAACCCAGTGTGCTAGGCAAGTGATCTACCATTGAGCCACAACCCCAGCCCTTGCTCCTAATTCTTGATTGACTCAGAAGTACAGAAGGTTAGGGAAATAAAGGAAATCATATATGGTTCCTGGTTTCCATGCATACTTGCTATTTATATAAGGTCATTAGTAATGTGCCTCTGTTTAATTTGTGTTCTCTCTCTTTTTTCCCCTAGTCCTACTAAATGTGTCCCTGTTGTTTGTAGAATACTTCCTTATTCTTCTGGGACAGATATTCCAGTTCATCTTGTACTTTCTTTGCCTTCCTCTGGAATTGGTCATTTGTCTAATGAGTTGTGTTTTCTTTAGAGAAGAATGCTAATTATAAATCAAGATCCATGCCTGATCCTCTGCAATTGGGAGCCCCTTTTATCTTTGTCTTCAGCAA